AAAAAAAAAAAAAAAAAAGAGAGAGAATACAAAAACAGTGATACACAACACACCACCAGACCAGACAAATGGTGAACTGTGTGTACTCTCTTGCAACAGACACCATGCACAGATAAACCAGCTAAACACCATCCTACTGTTACTTCATTAGCTCCACTGTTACTTGAATGGCTCCCTGCTACTATGTCTTTAATGTTTTAACTCTTCCTTGGTTACCTACAGGAAGTCTTCAGTAAGGTAACCTATGCCTATGCTTTCTCCTAAGATAGAAGTATGAATTTGGTGTCTTTATCATGAGGCTGAGATGGCTGGCCGATGGAAGAGACGACAGCTGAGCATCCCTTTGCTGTCCCTGCCTCACTGTGATCTCCAGGCATAGGATGACAAAGGGAAGCCCACAGGTCACACAGTCTCAGTAGTCTCAGTCACAAGATCACATGGGGAAATGAAGGACAAAACATTACCTGAAGGGGGATTAATCCCCCCACTGTAAGCATTTGAATTCAGTTCTTAATCTGTAAAATGACCAGCGTTTCGTAAGTAAGATGCACTTTTTTTTTTTTTTTGGTACAGTTGACTTCATGTTTTCATTCCTCTCTGAAGAATGGGAACACCATGGATAGTAACAGCAGAAGCTTCCTGACATCCTCCTGTCAATATACCCCAGCTCTGATAAGGAGTAGTCACAGAGCATTGGCTGGCCTCTGTGTCCATGAAATCCTCAGTGACTACTGCTAAAATTTCCAGAAGAGGTGCTAGTGCTTGAAGTGATTAAAAACAAACAGAACAACTCTCTGTACATTTTTACTAGTAAATGTACTGCAAAGCTTTACAGAATTCAAATATCCCAACTTTGCTCCTCTTGTGAAAAATCTCTTACTTAAATCAGAACCAATATCCCCAGCCCAAAGTGGTATCAAAAGAAATAACACAAAACATCTTGCCTCTGGGCCCTGACTTCCTTATCTTCCAAGCCAGTGCTCTCTTTAATAATGTTACAACACTCCCAGCACTTCTGCAGAAGACAAAGATGTTAAAAGCATTGCCATGTTAGCCATCTCAAATGTCTGTCTGGGGGCAACAGTGTGTGATACTGTCTCCATGCTCAAAGGCAAGGGGCATAGTTTTGCTGAGTCAACTTTCTTAAGCTAACTGGAGGTTAAAAAGAGTATGTGAAGACTATCCAGAACGCTTAGATATCTTCCAGCAGATCTCTACATGTATCTTTAGTCTTACCCAGCACTCCATTTTTCTGCTCTACTGTAAATTTCTGCTCTACTGTAAAGATAACTTAAACCCTAATGGAAACTTTTGTACAGCACAATGCAATTAGCATCCTGAATGCTTTGTTTTTCCTATTTTTATGGGCCTACCCCACCTCTGAAGGCATTTCTCATAAATCAGAAGGACGGCTTGTAGAACTGATATCTATTTTCCTGCAGCTTTTAATTCAAGTATGGAATCTAAGACTAATACATTTCTCTTTATCATCTCTGATTTACTTTAACTTGCTAGAAAGCCATCATTACTAGCATTTCTTATTTATTTCATCTCTAATTTTTTCAGTAAAAATGTCATTTAAAATGCATTTTCCTTAAATAATGATGAAAACAAATCTAGAAAATTGTTTTAGAGAGGACGTTAACTCACATAAATTTTAAAACTACATGAAACTCAAAATATAAAAACACCAATGTGAAAAGTAAAAATGCTGAGCTATGTCAGGAAGATCACAGAATTTTAAGTGCAATATTTCAAATGAAACCAATCCATACAAAAGAGAAAAAAAAAAACCTTTTGTAATAACACCTGGAATCAGAAGCCACAGAGATAAAGAGGATTCCCATGAATGGGATGTGCAGAAGATCATCTCATTCTGTGCGTTTACTGATGCTTAAGAATTCTTTCCAGAAATGCATAAATATTTTATATTTTCCTTTCTTTAAATTCTTACTGCTTTGAACCTTCATATCACTATTATTTTTCATTCTTTTCATCCTTCTTTTATGTCATTTTCTTTTACTTTTCTGGGTTTTCTATGATGTTAGACGTGGGTTCTTCCATCACTATTCAGACATCGTATGTCTACCTTAGTCTCACAGTCCCGATGAAACTCCTGCTAGGAAGAGCTGGTAGAAACACTTAATTTCAATACCATGAAGTATTTCTAGTCCTTCTACCCTCCCTTCCCTTAATGTGCTATGTTTACAACTTGCCCCACTGTACTTACGTGTATTAATTTTCTGGAGAGAAATGTGTTTTTCCAATTGACGTCGTAACTTCACTTCAGCTCCATATTTACCTAGAGTACCATTGTCTGCCAGAATGAAATGGGTGTGGGAACTGTTGAGCACAGAAAGCTTGCTTAGAGGGTTTGACATTGTTTGGTAAACACGTGTTACCTGTCAAAAGATTAGGTGCACCTGGATTAGAACTATGAAACAAACATGAAAATCCTCCAGTGTTCAACAAAAGCACACACCTTATGAGGAAACAAATCAACCAGATGTTTATAATTGAAAACATAGGAGAATTAGAAAAAGAGCTTGTCTTTATACTCAAAACTTGAACTCTTCACAGCAATGTTTTCATTGGAGGATAACAGTCATGTTTGTACATTCTTTTATATTTTCACCTACCCTCATTGATGTACCGCCCTTGATCACACCCTTCCTTACTCTCACTGCTTTAGGAATTACATTCCTGCTTGGAGTCAACAGAAATTAATATACCACTGCTGAGTACCTTATATAATAAATGCAAGTCTTGTACACATAAAAGCACTTAAATGATATATAACGCACACAGCATAGACACACTGAAGGTGGAACCTAAAACAAACTTTTACCAGAGAGGACTTTAACACTGAAAGTAATGGAAACATCACTACCTCTGGGTATGCTTTGCAGTTATATATACAATACTGTCAAATATATTTGAACAGTAGCTTTTCTTTAAGGAGTTTTCTAATTTCAGCAATGCTCTAGAAACAGTGAAAATTAATACTCCAAATAGATGAGCTGTCTATTTCATTACTTTAATTACATGTTAATTCCTTAAAGACTTACATCTTTTCCTATCAGATCTTCCTTGTTTTCTACAATGCCCCATGGTGCAATTCCTATGGCACAGATTCGTCCTCTGGATTTTGAAGAATGGTCTTTCAAGGCATCTCCCACATGACGAATGACACCTATAGATAAATCTCATTGAATTAAATCTTGTCCCTATTGAGAGAGATTACCAAATATTGAATTCTTCCTCTTACTTCTCACTGAGATCCCTGTTTTTCCGGGCTGCATTCACTACCTAAACTGGTACCTATTTATAATAGAACATGCAATGCAGACAAACCCATGCTTGTATTTTGCAGTTGCATGTAAACCTCAGAGGCCTGGTTTTTTCACATCGTTATTCTGAATTCACTCATGTCTTGGAAAGACTTACCCAGTTACTTAAGTTCCCACAGCATTCTTTGAAGATGAATTGTACAACCGATATTAACATAAAATGAATTTTAAAAAATAGCACCTGAAAAGCCCCCAGCAGTGAGAGGCTAATCAACCACTGAAAAAAAAATGTACCATATCTAGTGGCAGATTCCTTGCTACTAAAATCAAAGACAATAACCTTCTTCAGAAGAAACACTGTGTAATGCAAATCAACAACTGGCAGAATATTTTACTGTCTGGGCTGGATAGATCAATGCAAATCATTACAGTTCTATTTTTTTAGTCTAGTGGCTAATAACTCTTTCATGAAGACTTAAATTTTATGTCTTTGGGAAAGAATAGTAACTGAAAATCAGTGAATTCTCAAGTAAACTAAAAGTGCTGGTAATTGTTTACCTGTACTAACACCTCCAGTGAAAATCCAGGCTCCGGTGGTCATGGCAGCCTTTATCAGACCTTTTCCAAATACTTGTTTCAGTTTCGGCTGCATTTCAAAGTTCTGGAGGCCTCCATGGACAGAGATTAAGAGTTTGGGCAATTCTAGTTGCCAGTCTTTCACCATGAGATGCAGCAGAGAATCTGGTTTGGTGTCATACGACACACGGATATACTGAAAAGATCAATGCATGATATTATCTATCTATTCTGTAAATTGTCCATTGACTAAGCACAGAGTAATTATATTAAGCCCCTAATTTCAAAAAAAGAATTTACAAATATTAAGCAATTTAAGGTTAATTTTATCTGCTGTTTATATTTAGTAGAAATAGGTTAAATGCTTTGCTATTAGGAATTTACTGGTAACATCTGAATTTAAAAGAGCAGCTTTCTTCTCCCTTCCTTCAAAACTGACTATGAGCAAGCTCTTGTAACAAACCTACACTGTTGGAGGCTAGCTGTTCTAAATGACTGCTTTTTTATCTTTCCTAAAATCTTGGTTTGATTGCTAGAGACCCAGTGATCATTATGAGAAATAAGAGGCCTATGTTACAGTTATCCCATTCACTGTGTATATAAGTATTTGATGTCTGAAAGAACAGTTTCTACTACTCACAGTTTAATTCTGCCTTTGTGACATCTTTTCAAACTATCATCCTATGAAACAAAACTACAGAACAACCTAGTGCTTATTTCTGCTTTAAAAACAAACCAATCAGCGCTAACAAAAATCAAGCCCTCCCATATATTTTAGACAAGTTTTTGCAGTGAGTTGTTTCAACTGGCAGTCTTTGCAGAGAGATATGGAAGCAAATATAGAGAATAACAAATCCAGGTCTGAATCTGAGTGGCAAGACAGGAAGAGATTTTTCGTGGAAACTTGATTGTTGTTACTTCCACTGCTCAGAAAATTTAAAGGTCTATTTTCCAGGTCCAAGAAGCTTCTGTCTTTCAGGAAAGCTAGATTCATTTCTATTTTTAATAGATGTGAAACCTTAAAAAAAATGTATATCCAGCCTGGGTTATTTGGCCCATAATCTAACAAGCCTAGAACAGACCGAATCTTGGGCATTATATGCCTACCCAGATGACATTTACTAACAGTAACTTTAGTGAAGGTGTTTCTTCAAGATATTTTAAGGTGCTCTCTAGGTAGGCATTATTTTTTTATTCTCACTTCTCTCTTGCTTACTCTTTTTCACCATCCTGTTCACATCTTTCTTAGGAAGTGAAGTGAATTCCTTTGGTTTCAACAAACTATGTATTGTGCAAGCTGAAATCTTGACATGTTTCTATTAAGCTAGCATATGAAATGAGTATCATAAAGTTGGCTATGGCCTTACCATGGCCTTATTTGAATGTCCTCCTCCCTGGAATTCAAGGTTTCCATAAGCATCAGTTGGGTACGTTTGGGTGTGTTTGCTGACAGACCACTTTTCTGGCTGAGCTTCCACTTGTTTTGTTTCTTCTCCATTTTTATTAGCTGTTGTACTTGGAGGAGGTGGAATATGCTGGTTAATGAGCTGTCCACAGCAGCACCTGAAAGTTAAAATTTTAAGTAAAATTGAATACTGCATCTTCAGAATCATCTTGTGATTAAAAATATATATATATAATAAATCCAATATTGAGCTGACCATGCCTGGCTCCACATGGATCACAGAAACATCTCTAGGTCATATCTGCCACATTTACCTACACAAATGCCAGAATTAGTACCCACAAGTGTTTCCTTACAAGCAAGGACTATACATATCACTTCACTTCTATGATGATCAGGATGGAATTTCTATGCTAGAAGACAGGGGAAGAAGAGTGCAGAAGTGACTGTTACTTGGAGGGGACAGCTAGTATGGAACAAACAGCTACTTTGTCCAAACAGCTTGGACTACAATTTAGATAGTTCACACAGCAGCACTTATTGTTTGAACTAAGAAATCCATTCCTCCTTGCATAGTATTGTTATTGGTAATGCTGTACATCCAAACCTGTGAAGAGCAGTATCATTTACATCAAAACACACAATAGTGCATCCTTGCTTTCAAAATTCAGTATGAAATTATGCTCTTATTTGCAATACTAAGAACTAACAGCTCACTGCCCCTCCTGCACAACTTCATCATCTCTGTATGCTACATCCCACAGCTCTGTACAGACTAGGGTGAAATCATGCCTTATACTTTTGTTGTCTGTCAATCTCATCTTACGGGCAATAAGTAAACTTGGTCCCACTTTCACCTGTCTAAACAAATATAGTCCAGTTTCATCATTATTAACTTTTCTGTCAGCAAAGGCAAAAATTTCAAATGTTACCTGCTAATGTCTTTGTTGTTGGCAATTACATAAATGCATTCTCTTTTTGAAAAGGTCTTCTCTATCCAAGCCTTCTGACCCTTAAAGAAAGAAAAAAATAAAAGGAAAAATAATTAAAGATTCCTGCAACAAATACAGTAACATTTCCATTCTATTTTTAAATACAAGCATTTAATTCAGTAAATCAGCTCTAAACACAACATACATCTACCCATGAAGCAAGTAGGTGATGTAAGTTTGGATAAAATTCAAACTTTGAACATGTGTAAAAATCTTTGAACACAAACATATTTGTCTTGATGGCACAAAGGGTAGCCAAAGCTCTTCCAAAAATGCAGTTGCTCCTTTCTAATTTAGCAATTAGTAAATGGACTTAAAATAGTACAGAAATAATGCAGCCTAAGCTGTGACATAAAAAAATTGACAGCATTTAATCAAAAAAATTATTTAGTAAAGTTATTTGTACAAAGAAATTGCTTCCCAAAAACTTTCTCTAGTATGATTAATAGTCTCAGATTCTTATTTTCCTCTTTAAAAATAAAGTTCTAGTTATTCCTAAAGTCATTCCTAACTCAACAATAGCGTATGTACTGGGAGGAAGAAAGTGATTGAACATTTGACAGAAAAAATACAAACTCTACAGCTACGGTGACAACTGTGACACAAAATGAGGAAAACAACCTTGAAGACAAAATAGAATTTCCAATTTTGGTGTGTCTGTAAATTAGGTTAAATTAGACCAATCTCACAACCATTTAAAAAACATAAAATGTAGGCAACCTAGAACAGAATCAGAGATCTGTGCAATGAGGCTAGAAAACCTACAGTAGAACTGCAGTCCAGTTAGGTCTGGGAATCCTGAAGGCTATGGGTTTAGAAATGGCTGCAGGCCACTTTCCCATACTTTTGGACTTGTCCATTTATCATCAGTTAGGCAAAGTACCATCATGACTGGCATACTAAACAAATGTTTAGTAGTAAATTACATAAAGAAGACTCAAAAGGAACTTTTAAATTAAAAAGGTATAAAAATGTTAAAGCACTCACAATTTTATGATGTGAATAAACTTGCCTTGCTGCTTCTAAGTTTGAATTAAGGAACTAGTATTAATGCATTTTTCAAGTAGTAAGCAAAAGTCATGTATTTTGTTTTAGCTTCCCCTATGGAAATGAAATTTTTGCAGAGACAAAACACTAAAAATGATGTGAACTTTCAGGGTTCCATCATTAAAAAAATGGGACTTCCCTAAAAAAGTAGTAAAAACCTTACCTGATTTCCTGACTAAAGTGAACAGCAGATTTCTGTCAGAAGAAAGCTCTGTCAGCCTGTCTGGTACTAGCTTAGAGAACAGACTAGCCCCTAAGTGCTGCACAGCCTGCAGCATGATGAATAAATGAATCCCAAACCACACAGTACCCAGACTCACTGCCCTTTTACAATTACATTCAGTGGTGTTACATGTGCGTATGCGCACCATACTAACTTATGGACTTTTAAGGTTATAAAACAAGCTTAACAGGATCCTTATACAGGGGTCACATCCACTGAAAAAAAATTTTTTTTGGCTTGTTAGATAAGAACCTGTTTTTTTGTCTGAATAAATTTTTGCACTTGTGTGCAAATCATTGATCAATTGACAGAAAGGCCCAAATCAGTTTCACAGGGTGGGATGCATTCTCCACTATACAGCCGGAAACAGATTCTTCACGTTCAACGCTTCTATAGAGAACACTGGAGAATCTAAGCTAGAATATCAGAACAACTTGGATTTTCACACCATGTTATTGATTATTGTTTTACCTCATAGCTTGTCAAAGAACAATTTTTTCTATTTCATGTACTTCACATGAAAATAACTACTTAGCTGCTGAATTAAATCACAGATTTAATATTTGTGTTTGGACAGAAGCTTTTGCATCTTGCTTTCTAAAACGAGGTCTACATTACAACTGAGCTCTCAGCTGTGCATTCATTATTGAAAACCCTGTGATAGGAAGTCTATTATCTACAGCTATCCTGAAAACATTACATTCTCACACCTAAAAACCCTGCTAGAGCTCAGTCACTATAGGAACTACAGTTGGACAACACATTATGCTCCACTGGTTTGTTTTTTCAGTGCTAATGAGAGGAAGGCAAAAGCAGGCATTACAGATCACGAGAAATAAAAACTCAGCACATTTGGTCAGCCTTTGAAGTTTCACTGCTTTTGTCTGCTTAATCTGCTTAACCAAAGCTTGATTATAATCCAGTGCAAATACTTGAGCAGATATTCGTGTCAGAAAATGGGTAATTTCCCCACTTGTTTGAAACAGGTTCTGTACATGTCTATGTCTGGATTGAAATGAGGAAAAATGCAAGGATATACACTGTCCCTTGTGAGTTTTTAAAAAATTAAGCACTTTTAAAATACCTTAGAATGGACAGGTTCTGAAAGAACTCTGGCTAATCAGCTACAGTTTTCAGACCACAAACAGGAGTGTTGGGTTGCAAGAGAAATAAATGCTACTAGAAAGATAAAGGCAACAAAAAACACTGCAGGTTTTCCACAGACCTCTGAGAAACAATTGAAAAAAATTAGCAAGACCCCAATTTGCTGATAGTAATCAAATTCAACCCTGCTTCTTATTGCAAATTCTGGATGTACCTATCAGTACCTGATCTTGGAAAAATCACACTTTAGGTGCTCAGAAGCATGTTTTTTCTCTTTTATGAGAACTGACTACAGGTCTCCTAGGTTATGATCAAAACCAAATCAAACCACTGCAAATTCTTGGTCTTCCACCTAGAAATCAACATATTGCCAGGAAATGGTGTTTAATGATGCTGGGTTTTATGATTCCTTGTCATGGATTTTTTTGGTCCCAGTAGCATTGAAAGAGGACTTTCAGAAAAGACTGGAGTTGTTAGTTTGTACATAAGTTAACTAATGAGTTAACAAAACTAAGATTCTAAAAGAGTATCTCCTTTAGAGCATAAGCATTAATAAACATGAGAATTAGTTCTACAAAGACCAGTTGTTCCTGTCACATCATAAGTGAACTCCACTGTTTGCTGGGAAGTGAAAAAATGCTGGGGGGAAGGAGGGCAGAGATGAAAGTTGCAGTGTCATTGGAGTACATCCAAAACCCAAACTACCCAGTGTAATCAGACCTCTCAACTGTAACGTTCCCCAAAAAAGTGACGCTCCTTGCAATATGGACCTGCTTTTGCTGGACAGGCTGGCAAGCCTGGCAGGCTGGGTACAGGATGGGATGAAGCTTTGCCCCTGTCGTGCAGTCAGACAGCATTCATCGTAGGACATCTCTTTGGCACCTGAGGCCCTACTGTAAGAGCACACACACCCAGCTGCTGTGCTCCAGTGAAGATCTGTCATGCTGGGCATAGCTGGGCAGCAGAGAAGCCAGCCCACAGACAGTTGCACCTGGTGCACAGGGCCATGGACAGATGCAATGAGGGAGGAGACGGGGCCAAAAAAGTGTTAGGCGTAATACAGGCTAAAGTAAACACAGAATAATATAAACATGGAGTTGGCTGGGCAGCAGCTTATTTTGATGAGAAAGAAAGAAATAACCGGAAGTGGAATGAAATTCAGACTGTGAACACATGCATGGTTTAAGCACAAGTCCATTTGTTGTGTGAACAAGTCTGCAGACTTCTGTAAATACCATTCAGGTAATCAAATTCCACTGCTGTTATCTGAGGGGAAAAAAGAAAACACAACAACTCTGCCCAATAATCAATTAGGAAAAAAAGAAATCAATGTATCAGCAGAATCTCTATTATCTAGGACCTTAAAAATCAATAGTAGAGGGATTTCTACTTTGAGCTGCTTTGAATGGCAACTTCCCAATTATACTATCTAATAGGCAGGTCCTTTTCAGAGGGTCATAAATGGGACATCTGAAAGCACCAGTGTAGATGCTGTGTCATGGTACACAGCTCCTCAGCTTTAGAGCAGACTCATGTCTGGCCAGTGGTTCTTGTGCTTGTTCTCATTTACAAGCATTGAAGCACCATCCCTAGATAAGTACTTCTCTAGTTTTCCTTTCTTCCAGAAATAAGCACCTTCCTTCCTCTGTAGCTGAAGAAACTTGCAAATGGCTATATCCGAGGTGCATTTCCAAATGAGCTATCCTTTTACCTCAAATCCACTACAGATATCTGTGAGTCTCTTCTACATATCCAGTATGCACAGGTTCATTCTGAATTTGCAATAGACTTGGCTTTTCAAGGCTGATGGGGTTAGTTCCCTTAATATTCTAATGCTCACTGGGATGTTACTGAGAAAGTGAAATACCAAATAATATTTGCAACAAGGAGGATCTCCTATGTTGATTGATAATAAGCATCAAAAAAGGAGTAAAGATAGTTACAAGATTCCTTCAAATGAATGTCTGTTTCATCAAAACAATTCTTGTTCTCATCCCAAGTTTCATATGATTCAAATTGACCCTGTGTTCTTCCAGCAAGATAGCCAGGGAACCATTTGGTCCGTGAATGAAGCAAACAACACAGGCAAGATGGCAGCGCCAGTTAGCAATACTGTTATCACAGAAAAAACCTGTCATCTGAATTATCTCAAACTCAGCCAGAAATCACTCCTGCTGATGATGTGGAAGCCAATAAACAGTGCTTCATGCCTTCATTATGCTTTGTGTTCTGAACTGGCTGGTGGGGCAGGCAGCAAGCATCTGCCAAAACAATAGGAATAATTTCCTGTCCACTTGAATTAGTTTGTGGATACAGAACACATAAAGGAAATAATAGGCTCTCCTTTCCCAAATATACACAATTCTACCACATCTCATGGAGATTCTGCTTTCCCAGAAGCTATGGAAAAGTGAGCAATGACTATAGCCTCAACACCACAGCAGAGCTGGCTTGCTCTGCCACAGTTGTGTACATCCAACTCTGGCACACAGTCTGTGAAGGCACATTAATAAAGTGTGCTGGCTGAGCCCAGATGCCCAACAGAGAAGCACATAAAGCTGCTTGGGTACAGCTCAGCATCAATGTAAGGACACAGCTGGCACAGCCAAAACAAACCAGCTCAACAACCATTTGGAGAACAGAGCT